CCTCGCGAGGCTGCTGCATCCCGTTTCGTTTCCATCATTCACGGCTCGATCCAGCCAAGTACTGTACTGTACTGTGCAATACTGTGTAAGGTATAATAGGGTTGACGGCGGGAGGAAAAGCCAGCTCCCCGCGCCAACGCACCAAGTCCTTATTTCAATAATAATTCCCGTAATGCCTTGCGCAGTATCCAGCATGATACAGTACCAATTAATCCTACAGCACCATAAGCAGCACTCGTGCATTTTACGCGCAATCTAGCTTCGTCAGACCAGCCCGAGCGAAATTGTAGCCAGCGTCTCTCCGCGTTTCGTTTCTTCCGTCGAATCCCGAGTGATAAGGATGAAATAATCATTATTCCAACGAGGCGAGGATAGTACTGTTACTACTGTAAGACGTCGCCGGTGAAATATATATTGTGCAATACCGAATGTAATGTAAGACACGTATATATATTACTGAAGCTGTACAGCAGTACTGGATCCGTTATACGGGGCTTCTAATTTTCTTTTCTTTTTCTCTTCTTCTTCATTTGCTGCGTGTATGTGCAGTGCAGTACTGTATTGTATATGCTGATGCCGCTGCTGGAACGAGAATTTGATGCGAAAGCCCTTTTACACACGTGCAGCAGTGACAATCGAGTTTTACTCGTCGTCGACACAAGTCGCATGCGAATGGCCCTTTCATTGTGGCAGTTATCCGTTTCGCACGCATCCTGTACGGCATATGCCGCGCAAATGGAAATGGAATTGAGAGCGAACTTGCAGTATCGACTCGGCGCGAATTATGGACTCACGCAGGGGTTCGAATAGAGAGATATGAATTTATGTATATGCGTGTGTGTGTCTTTCTCTCTCTCTCTCTCTCTCTCTTTCGTGTTTATTTAGTGGGCACTTGGATTCTGCCTTGAGCAATTGTGAGAGTGAGGGAGAGAGAGAGAGAGAAGGATGATCTTCCGCCCGACCGAGTTATTTCAAAGGCAAGAAAAAAGGTTAATGCCGCTCGTTTATTCCTTGCGGCATGTTCTGCACAAGGCCGCCCGGGTACAGTATTTCTTCATGTAACTCTTGTCTACAGCTACTGTATATACAGTATTACATGCACGTGTATGTATGGTATATACAGTGTATATAAATATTTTAATTGATTTGTTTTTCTTTTTCCTTACATTTCACCTTCGTTTCTCCGCTACTGAATAACTGAGATGAGCTGAGCTGAGCAGAGCTATATACAGTATGAGCTGAGCCGAAGGCGGCGGGAGTATAGAGTACGGCATATACTGTACGAGTACATGCAGCACTGCCGGAATCGCAGTCTCTGCTGCGTGCTGCTGCTTTTCTCCTCTAACTTGGTGCTCCCACGTTCGCCGGCCGGGAACGAGTTGGGTTTTTCTGGCCGGAAAGTCACCGTGGGTAAACAGTGGGAACCGTCTTGGTCGTGTTGACTTGAGGGATACTAGCCGGTATCTGTCCGTACGTCTTGCTTTCGGCGGGTCCTGCATGGAGAATAGCTGGTAGCTGGCTCGCGAAATTCTTTCCTCCATTTCCTCTTCGCGATATATAATAAATAGGGACGAGGTTATGCACTGCTGCTTGTATTGTACTGTATGCTGTAAAACATACATCCTGGGTGCTGGAAGAAGAACAAGTTTTGAAAAGAGCATGCAGCGGGAAGAACCCGCTTCAACGACGTCGGCTTCAATTGACTTTCCGTCATCAGGCTGGCATGAACACGACTTTTCCCCCCGCGTGACCGTATATTGATTGTCCGACGATGATGCTCTAACTCTGCCGTACTGTAGAAGCTGGGCGTGCAGCGCCAGCAATTATTACAGGCTATCTCAGCATAACCGGTGTTTCCGGAATTTTGAGCCAGGTCCTCGCCAGAATCCCCCTGGCTGCATATGGGGTGCTGGAAGAAAATCATATATATCATATACTGCACTACACTACACTGTATAGAGTGCGAGTCATTGCTGTCCCTATATACAGGATGAAAGAAACGAAAGCAGCCTGGTCGAACCTCGATCCCATTTAATGAATGAATAACATCTACATCGATCATTGGCAGGATGAACCAACGCAGAACTTTCAATTCAATTGTTTTCTGATTCCAGCAATCGTGGAATTGCAGAATAAAAATAAAAATAAATAAAAAGAACGAGGATATGATGCCAATCCTATGCATATACAGTACGGCATGTATATAGTACATATATATACATATGAAGCCCAATCAAGATTGCTGGAATTAGTTCGAGGTTCCAGGCTTCTTTTTCGAGGACGCGAATGCTGAATAGACTGATGGGAAGCAGGCTCTGGAACAGTACAGGTAGTGTACGATGCAGTTCTTGCAATATACAGTACAGTACTTTATCTCATATCGCCTGCTCGCGTGCGTTGCTCAAGGTTCAACTCACCGTGGCGATACATGATATAATGACGAGAAGTTCCTCCTGCTGAGACTTTTACTCATTTTTCCGGGGAATCAAGTACTGTACTGTTGTACGTTTTACGCCAATAAGGTTTTGGTATTGAATATAAGGATCTCTGCTGACGGTGTCTCTCAGCTCATCTCACCTGATTTCATCTCACCGAATCCCATACCGCCTCGGCTGCGATGACGTCAGCAATCCTTTGACAGCGCTCCGTCCTTTCCATGATTGGTGCATCATACTGAACTGAACTGGCTGCACTGTACTTGGTTCTCTTGTACTACTCTACTGTACTGGAATCCGTCTTATAGTCTCTCGTCTCCTGCAGAGAGCAGAATTTCCGCCTTCGCAACCATTTCTCCCACGCGTTTTTAGATGATGACGAATATACGGGGGGATGACAGGTGGGAGAGCGCTGAAATGCCTGCGATGAAATTTGCATGTAAACCTCGGAATACACGTAGATACGTTCGCATCAGGAGGCGAAATTGACTTATATTTGTCTCCTTCTCCGTTTCTGTTCCCTCTCAGTTTTCATAGAAACCCCGTTTCCCGGTATGATTGCGAGCTTTGCTTGTACAGTACAGTACTGTATATTTTCTAGACGCGAGTACGGTACAGGCGGGCAATAATAAGGAGACGAGCAGGCTCAGTGAGTTATTTGATCGTCGACGCACGTTCACGCGTTCCGAGTGGATCCCCATAACGTCTCATCAACTGCTGCTGCTGCTGCTGCTGCGACATTCATGGTTCTCTTGGCCATTCCTCCCGCGCGGACCTGTTGTTGCGTGACAGACACCGATATTCCGTGACGAATGCATGACGGGATTTCGAGTCCCGCGTAATTGATTGGATTTGAAGAGGAGAAGAATAGGATAGTTAGGAAGGACTATAATAAGGGTATGCTGTGCAGGTTTACGAATGAACTACTTACTTACTGTACGTGCTGTACGCATGCGATTTCGTATTCCGTGTAACTGGAAAACACAATGCTACTGTACTTGAATGAATGTAAATACTGTATTGTACTTTAGTCATACACCCGCGCGCTCATGTAAAGTCCCTCATATATGGCGAAGATCAGAGTGTTGGCCAGCCTCACTATATAGTACTGTACTTGTAGGTATCGTACCTAGAACTCATCATGGACCTCGGGGGTCATAATGGAAGTCGACGAACAAGGACGAAAAGCTGGAAAAATATTGTGCTGTGCAGATTGGGCTTTTCACATCTGCCCGTCGTAAGGAATATAGGGCCGCGATCGACTTATTTGCTCCGTGTCAGCTCGTGGGATTGAGAGTGGAAGAGCAGAGACAACAGCCTTGCGCTTGTGCTTGTGCTTGTGCTTCAAAAATGAAATCGGTGGGATGTGACGGACAGTGCATAGCCGTAGAGTGCAGTAGAGCAATGTAAACCCAACGACGATGAGAACCATCGCGACAGACGCTGTCGCTATCCATCCCTCGGCGATTTCCCAGCATATACGTACGTAACCACGGGTCGGGATATGCAGTCAAGTACTGTGCGAGCAGCGGTATGTCAACACGTCCCATTCCTCGACGCCCCTCGGAAATCCGCGCGGAATCAGGCAATTTAAATGCACGGGACCCCGGGGCGCGTTGATCAACCCCCGGGGGTCGTGTCGTGTCGTGTCGTGTCGTGTCGCGTCTTCTATTTATTATTATTTTTTCTTTCGTTTCTCGCGCTCTCTCTCCCTTTTTGTTTTTATTCCACGTTCCTACATATCCAGGGTCCGAATAATGTTTGCTCCTGTTGTATTTGACACCACACGATGTTCCTTCCTCATCTCATGAGCACCAGCGCCGACGCCGAACTGATTTTCGAGCATTTGCCGAGACAAGAGTGACCCTCGGGGATTTAGCACCCACCCTTTTACCTTCCTTCACGTCGTGGTGTGCGAAGCAAGCCGGTGACTGGGCCAAAAAATAATAAAGCGTCATTTCCCATTAAAACGTGCGTTGGGTGCTGAGGGCACCCGTTTCGTCGGACTCACCTGCTGTGCTGCTGTGCTGGCTGAAGCACTGTACTAAGCACACGGTACTTGGTGGGAAAATATGCAGGAAATACGGTACTAATCACTGCTGCGCGGTTCGCTACGCAGACCTACGATACGGACTACCTGGAGGTAGATTACAGTACAATACAGTACTGTATACTCGTATTTCTGGACAGGAGCAAGATGACTGAGCATCGAATCGGTGTGGTATTTTTGATTACAAGACGTGTCATTCGACCTGTACCAGCCTCGCATTACCTCATCATGGCTGCTGGTTTCTGGTTTCCCTCGCCATTCCCACGCCCGCGGAAGGAAAGGATGAATCGCGCGCGCAGTACAACGCTCTCCTGTACTGTATCCGCGATTCATCCAAGCTGGTCACGCGCAAGATAGCTCATGTATCCGGATCCGAGTGGTAACCACGTCGACCTGATGAGGTGAAAGTCGCGGAGAAACGTCGTTAATGAGGAAACGAAGGAACGAAAGGAGAAGGAAAAAAAAAATATGCTAGAGTATAAGCGACTTATCGGGACTCCCTTTCCGCGAATCATATGCAAAACGAAGCCAGCCGAGACTGCGACAGCACCGTCGATAAAGGCCGGTTCTTATTATTCGTGCCAGTTGCGGGGTGGGTTATTCATTGGCGACTCGTCCTCATCATGCAATTTACTGCACGTACTGCTGGTCTACTGTGTGTACAGCAGTGCTGCATGATTATTCAGGAATCATCTCCGCGGCAGTCCCTCCTGATGGTCTCCGCCTCATCAGGAACGCAACAGGCGCGCCCTGGAAATTTCTCTGGGGTAATCACTCAACACGGCAAGGCATGATACGGGTGCTGCAGTGCCGTACAGTCCTTCCTGCGACGAGCAGCATGCAGCAGACGGAGCCGAGTCCAGCGAGACGGACAAGAGTGCGGATGCGTGTTCAGTTACCGATGAAGCTGTCTGGGAAATTGCCGAGGAAGCGTGTGCGGTATTCTCGACGGCTGCATACTGTACTCTCGTCGGGGAAATCATGCCCAAAACAAGGGCGGTGAGGGGGACCTCGATCGAAGTGTTTTCCAGTCATATCGGCATGCATGAGGCTTGCTTTGAAGCTGAGCTCCTGATGCTGACGCATTCCTGTCTCGATCTTTCTTATTACAAGTACAGTACTCTTCTGGTATACTGCTTACATATAGTGAAGGTGTGAGAAATCAACACTGGCCACACAATAAGGGATCCATCAGTATGGCAGCTAGGTTGGTATGGGCGTGCGTACGGATGACGATGAGGAAGGAGTCCGTACGTATGGGGAAGACCGGCCGAGGTCGGGGACCGGGAGTAGACACGCGTGATGCGTGACCCCTGGCTGATGTGGAAGTGGCCCTCCTCATGCAAACCTCTCGGATATATGTCTCAGGACAATGGTGGATCATGGGTCTCTTGGGGACAACGCCATCATCTATCCACTGGGTATATACAGTATATATATATATATATCGAATGCTGAGCAGTAAACAGTATATGTACAGTATGTGTATAGTCGCGCTACAGTCAAGGTTTAGTGCAGCAGTTCCGAATGCACATATTACTCTATCTATAACTCACTTTTCTTGCGATGCTTGCGAGATTCGACGTGTGAACCCTGGCAGACGTGTCATCGTGCAGCAGGATACTCGCTGATGCCGCTCCTGAGTGTCGTTTCCACTTGAAATGCCTGACTCGTCAATGCTGAGCGAGGATGATAAACGAACGACAGTGAATATTAATTTTCTGCATTTGGGGGTTTCTCTAATTCATTTTTATTCCCCTTTCTTATCGTTTTCGGCGTCACCAGCAGCTGATTCTGCTCAGTGATCGCGCGGAAGCACGTTAATTGACGAGAGAAAAGGTCCCCGTAATATTATTGTCACAAATCCCAATAAGGTCATTTATTCACCGGATGCCTTCATCAATTGATTCATTCAGTCAGGAAATGAGTACGTTCCTTATTTTGATGCCACTTTCCTTTCCTACAGTACGGTTGTGTGTATTGAAGCCGCGGATTAAAAATTACGCGTGCACAGCAGCACTGCAGTAATTTTGGTGCAGGTGACGCTGAATACGGTTATAGAAAAGAAAGAAAGAAAAGAAAAGGAATACAGTACTGGTGATGCGCACGCAGTTTTGCCCAAGCTGTGCACGTTCATTTTCGCGATCGTCCTTGCACATGCAACATGCATCGCAGCGATTCCCCGTAATAATGTCGATAGACCGGGCGTAAGTCAATCGACCATGCAGTCAACCATATACATTACAGTAGAAGCCGAAAAGGATACACTGCTGTACTGTATTAACGCTTCGATCCGTGTGGAACGCATGAAATCAATCGACTCGCTGCGAACTCGACTCATTGCATCATCGCGTCCGCACTGCATGATGGCCCTCAGCACTGTACGCGCAGCGGAACGGTATATAATCAGATATGGGCTAATTATATACCGTTCCGTACTATGTACAACAGTATACCGGAGTCGCCGCTGACATTTTGTGCCAGCTCATGCACAATACAAGCAGTACCGAAGTGAGTTAACCGACGGACTTGACTTACAGCATTTGAATTTCGATCTCAAACTCTTCCAGCACCAACCATGCTTCTCCATGCTTGCAAGCAAGCAAACGCTAGGTGGTGCCTCACGTTCAGCTACTCGCCTGTACTGGACATGTACTTTACACTGTACTGTATTTACAATAAGTAGCTATTTATAGCTGCAATAAAGGGATGCTGGGAATGAGACGTGGAGTATACGCATCGGAAAATCGCCGATTCGATCTTCGAGGGAGGGGCCCCTTCTTCTGACGAAATGATGGTGCTGGCTCCTGACGGAATTCGGACCACCGCATGTCCTTTGACATTTGAACCATGCGGCTTTCATTGGGCAAGATCCGTCCACATCCGACCCCTTCGGACGAGAAGCATTCGGGAGATCGGGAGGATGGAGAGAATCCGATCAGTCCTCGACCCGAAAATGCAGTGACTGCTGTTGTGGATGCATTATGCAGGGGTCCTATTCGGAGAGAATTGCCTACTGCGTAACTTGAATAATGAAGGAAGCATCATCAGGGATGTCCGGCCGCTCATCCCTCGTGCAAAATGCCCTAATGATGTACAAGTACGCTACCCTCGGCCTCTACTCTACTAACTGTACTCTACTGTATAGTCGAAACAAGGTTGGATTAAGATATGCTGCAGATGTCAGTATTCGCAAATACTGTACACTAAATTTTACGACGGCCGTTGTGCGACAATGACTTGACCTCGCGCACTGATGCATGCTGGGTGATATATACTACATCACAGTGTTGAAATCCAGTTGTGTGATGGGACGTTTTGCGGCAAAAAGCTAGAACCGGCGCACAATGTTAATCAGGGATCAATACGGTAATTACACGTGCCTCAGAGAAGACGGATACGCACGTGAAAGTTGATGCTTCTGATGCGAATAGTGTACAGACGGCCGATGCATGGCAAAGCGAAAAAAAAATTAAGGTATTCAAAGGCGCTGAACAAAAGATTGAATATGCAGGATCCTGCTTGTGTTTTTCTTTTTGCTTTCCTTCAAGCTGTGCAACGCCGGTTAAAGTTGAGGAACATGGCGTGTTTCGCGAAGATACGGAATGCCGTCCTATATTTGGGCGATCACGACTTCGCCGACTACAAGAATTCGCCAAACTTGAATACGGTGCATGTTTTAGGGCGTTTAACGAGGAGAAAGAGAGAGAGAAAGAGAGAGAGAGAGAGAGAGAGAAGAAAAGAAAAAAACGCGGATGCTAAAAAACAGGAATAAAACGTTTGGCGCGACCTGTTGCGGCGAAGAAGGGAAAGTCGTCCTCCTCTTGTCACGGATACGAAAGGTGCACCATGCGATGAGGTGGCCAAAGGTGCCGATATAGGAATCAACTGATGCCGCCTATCCCGCATTCGAATCAACACATTGAAAGACGGATCCATCCCTTATATTGACTCATCTCGCGAAATCCCCTTCATGTGCATCGAAACGCTGTCTATTTGTCCTGTATTCCTTTTTTTGTCTTCCCGAGTGTGAATAAGAATGACAATTTTCAAAAAAATGTCAGGGCTTCACCTGCAATAATATGCCCCACTTCTTTCTTTCCCTGGCACGACGACGGGGACGTCATGCTAACCATCGATATCATGGCGATTCTGGCAGGAAAATTGGTCAAGTACTGGATAAGTTGAAGTTTTGTTGCATCAAGTTGAAACGGGGTGCTGTACTCTGAAATGTCGAATAAGGTGCGCAGTACAGTACTGTACTGAACTGCTGAATTGTTCAGCAGAAAACGGCTGGTTCCACATTTTCGAGGGGAGATGGACAAGAAAGACGAATAGGTTGCCTTTTTGTTGTTGTTGTTTTTGTTGTCTGGGTTCGAGTTGAAAATGAATGCATTTTTGCGGAGACGATATGGTGATGTTGTTCTCCGCGCGGTCCTCCGCCGAGCGAGGTCGCGTGTCTATAATCCTCGGCCTGGTCTCCTCATTAATTCGGTCTCCCGCGTGAATAAGATGTGATGCGCGGGAAACAATTTTCGGATGACGGGAATCCTCCGGAAATGGGGAATGATGGGCTGATGCTTTGCACCTCGTGAGTACTGCTTGCTTGACGAATGACCCCCTGCATATGATGCGTGGTATCATCGTCTATATATAAATATGAGGAGGTCACTCAGCATCAGCAGCAGCGCATTGCCTCGCTTTGCTTTGCTTTGCTTTGCACAAATAGCTGCGTGTATTCAGTGTTTCGTTTTCCTTTGGTATTGCAGGTGCAGAGACGGAGTTGGTCGGCGGGCCAGACATTTACGTGGCCAAGGGCAGCACCATCAATCTCACGTGCTTAATCAAAAACACCCTCTTGCCGCCGGAGGCTGTCACTTGGTACCACAATAACAAGGTAGGCATGCATTCCTTCCTCTCCTCCTGCGTGGGTTTCAATCACTCCAGCAGCATGCTGCAGCAGGCATGCACCAGCATGATCCCTCGTCGCCGTTTCCCGAATTCCGTCGCAGCACTACTGTACTCTCTGCTGCACGTCCCGGCCCGGCCCGGCAAATGCTGCTGCGGTCGTGTCATTTTCCTCCCAGATTAGACCGTACGCAGTCGTTTTATTCCTGAAACCGGAAAAAGAATGACCGCAGCAGTGAGGGTTGTAAAATGCATGAGGCGTGCATGGACGGAGCCCGTTTCGAGGATATCGCCATGCGTCTCTATATACTGTACCGCATGTGCCGAACATTGATCAAACGGGCTTTCACGCCCAAGAAGAATATTAAAAAAATAATAATAACAAGAATAACAATATTTATACTGCATACTGTATACTGCAGGGACAAGCCCGCCAATAAATTCGCCCAGCGCCGGGAAGTGCGTGTCGTTTTTCGTCACCCTCATGCTTCCGATGAGAAATGCTGCAAAAAGTTCCCCAGATATATCGCGGCGTCTCTTCAACAAACGAGAAGCATCTATTCTATATATACTGTATACCTACCAGGGTTTGTGTACATATCGAACTCTCTACATATGGACTGCCATTTCGTTCAATAAATTCGTCCAATCCTTTTTATTTAATTTTTTCCTGCATAGTATATGCAGCGATGGGATCAGCATAATTTATCCCCAATTAAGAACAGTAAGAATCCGGATTTTTATTTTTCAAAAACAAACAACGGAAAAGGGGGTCTCGTTTTCTAGAAATAAGTATTCGAACGTTTTATTTTATTTCAGAGAAGGATTTTTGAATTCCGATTACAGTATTTTCAAATTTTCAGAAAATGAAAATTTAAGAATTTAAATTCAGCAGCATATATGTGCAAATGTGTTCGTTCCAGTTCGTATAGCGAAATGGCAGGCTATTATGGAGCATAGACTTGAGTACAGTACATGTTTAGTGAGCCCCGTCATATACAGTAATGAAATAGACGGCAAAACAAAGCAATTTGTTTTCCCGTGTATTTTATTATGAGCTGGCTCACTGAACTCACCATATACACGTACTGTACTCGAGTCTATGCTGCGCCTTAATATAGCTGGTTTCTCTTTATTCCGGGGCGATCGGTCTCTCGGTCCACGCTTCGTTATCGAGATCAGCTCTCAAATGCTGTGCACGTATACCCAGCTAGTAGTGCAATACTGCTGTATACTGCTGTGCTGGTGATGTGGATGATGGGCATGAATGATTGAGTCGGATGTTTCGGAATAACGGGGTGCGTATGCGGGTTGCATCTTCGCGGCAAATACTGTAACGGTCCTGGCGACACCAGACTAGAAACTGGGAAGTTGTGAGGAATTATATTCATCGTCATCATGCATGATCCCTTGTTGTTGTTCACGTACAGGTGATCGACTACAAGTCGCCCCGCGGCGGCGTCAGCGTGGCCACGGACAAGGGGGCCACTTCGTCCAGCACTCTGGTGCTGCTCTTTGCTCGGGCGTCGGACTCGGGCGAGTACAGATGCGAGCCGTCCAACGGCGTCCCCGCTGTCGGCAAGATCCACGTCCTCAACGGTCAGTACCCGAAAGTGATTTCTGTCCTCTGCAGTAAACAACACACTACAGTCAAGTGCTATGTAGCATATATATATATATATATATATATATATATATCGTATGTGTGTGTATATACTCGGCTACTGTACGTAGTCATCCGGCTCACCAAAATACCGTAAATAAGTACTGGGCGGGTGTTGCGTGGACGACAGCAGCAGCAGCAGCAGCAGCAGCAGTGACACGCTGGTCCATTTATCCCACTTGACGCATGCAGCCCAGCGTGATCCGTGTCGAGTCGTCGCGTGTCACCAGCCGCGTGGGGATTCACTGGACGACGCGTCACGTCCGTCCCGAATATGCACAGCAGTACAGTAGAGTATTTATTAATGCTCCTTACGCCACACGCATGCCCTATATCCGGCCGAGCTGGCTGCGATGCGGGCATTTGGGCAACAGACGGGACGAGACGAGACGAGACGCGGGACGGAACCGTCAGCAACAAGAATTCCGTCCGTCCCCAGCACAGCAGCTGTACATTGTAGTTAGTACAAGTCTCCGAAATCCGCACCGAGGGCGGGATGCTCTGCATTGTACTGACTATATAGATACTTAATTCTGTACGCACAGTGCAGTTCAGTACAATAAAATTCGGTAAAGCACTTAATGTGCTATTATGGCTGCGTTGATCAACAGCCGAACTCCATGTAGGCAGTGCAATATGCGCATTGCAGTTCACATGCCTTTGCTGTATAGGTACATGTACTGTACTTTACAGTGTATAGTGTATAGGAGGGAGTCTCGATCGGAAAGTACGTATTGCACACGCAATGCAGGATCGACAGTCGAGCTGAAAGCGTCTCAGTTTCACTCAGACACTGCTGGAAATTTCGGATCCTGCGCTCATTATTAATGCCAAGATGATGGTCTTTGATCATCTCCACGCCCAGAGAACGTCGACATCCACGTACTGCTGCTTATTATTGCTGTGTACGTGTCTGCGTCGTGGATGCACACACCCGTCCCCCGGGTTTGATGGATGCTGCCTGGATGATGCCGATGACCGGGTATATAGTATACATTATATACTCGTGCAGCACAGCACCTCTCGTCGGCTGGGGCACATGATCTTGATAGATCTGAAGACGACTGGGATCCGCAGTGACTAAGGGGCGCAATAAAGAACGGTACTGCAGTGCTGCACTTTACCCTGCAATATATACGGTACAGTACTGTACTACTGTATATACAATCCGCATTTACTGTAGCTTGGGCGACACAAAAAGAATTCGATACGATGCATGAAGGTGGCATCACCTAGCTAGCTTCTCTAGATTCACCGTGCAGCATAAAGAAAGAAAGAAAGAAAGAAAGAAAGAAAGAAAGAAAGAGCTAAAGAAAAAAGAAGGAGAGAAAGAAAGAAAGAAAGAAAGACAGACAGACAGACAGACAGACAGATCCATGCGCGAAGCTGTGGCGCAAGTACAATGTAGCAGAGCAGTACAGCAGTATACAAGACGGTAGAAATAGTACACTACAGTACTTGATGCATTACATGTATGCTTTGGGGCCTTTTTTTTGTCTTGCATCTTTCTTTTCCCATGAGATGGATCGAACGAGCGATGATTTGATGGGCTGTGATGCAAGAATTAACCCGCATACTGCCAAATAGCTGCAGGATACAGCAGTGCTGTACTGTACTGTACTTCGTTACGTGTAGCAGGGTGTACTGCTGTACACGAATGCAGTACAGCAGTTCCCATCTGCTGCTGCTGCTGCTGCTGCTGCTGCTGCTGCTGGGCTTCTCTCGGTGCACGGGAAGATTGAAACTCAATCGAGGCGAGAAGCAGCAGGATAATTGAGACTCATTGGCGAGGAAATGAGTGACGTTGAAGCGAGTCGGGTCGGAGCACGGGCCGGGCCAGAGAGAATAAATCATTCCCCTCGATTCCTCTTGACGGACAGGCTCGTGAACTTTCCAGTTGAGGCAACTTGCCCATTATTGCCTGCTGGAGGCCATCATTTTCCACCCACCGGCTCGACGGTGCTCTAATGAATCACGTCAAGCCCGCAGGGATCGAGAGATTCCAACCACCCTTATTTTCCTGCTGCTGCTGCTGCTGCTGCTGGATGGATGGATGGCCAAGTTTTTAACGGGCCGGCGTGTAACTGACTGACTTATTGGATGGAGGCTTTGACTTGCACCACACGTAATTGAAGACACTTTTCCTCCCCACTCCTCTCCTCTCCCGTCCTATTATATGCAGCACATTAATATAAAGTACAGTGCGTTAATTGTGTGGGGAAAAGATCTCCGTCGTCATGCGCGCTGATGTCTGCTGCTGCTGCTGCTGCTGCTGGAGAACGGTACACTCATCTAATCAATTTACTGTATTCTATGTCTAGTATACAGTATACTAGATACGAACTGATTTGAATAAGGAGCTCTCGATTACGCACAAACGGTTACGGTTTGAAATATGCTCGCTGAGTTTTCGCTTTTTTCTTTCTTTCTTTGTTTCGCTTTTGTTGTTGAAAAACATTCACATCGCCAAAAGAAAAGCAAAGCCAAGGAGTGAAACGAGAGTCGAATCAAGGCCGCCAATAAAGACAGCCATGCACCAGCATCGCCTCGAGCGAGGATCGCGCGGTGATTTCCGCGACGCGAAGCCTGATTTATTCCGGCCTCGACGTCGTCGTGTCGGGAAGAATGGAGATTACCTTGTCGACGTAACTCGTGCCGTAATGTGGGGTTCGTGCCCGGGGCTCATTATCTCGGTCGAGCAAGTGTGTGTGTCGCGGGCTGGGAAAAGCATTATGAAATGTATTTTCCTTCTTCCCCAGCACGACGTGTACGCGAGTTCTCGTCTCGACGCTGAGTGTCTCCTTATTATTGCCTCCGTTAATCATGCATGTGGCTCTGAAATGCTTCCTAAAGAATCGTGATAATTTTTATTTTTTATTTTTATTTTCTTGTTATCTTCTTCTTCTTCTTCTTCTTCTTCTTGAAAATGATGATGATGATGTTCTGATGGGTTCTTTCTGACATGGTGGCGTGTGAGGTGCAGGCGAATACCAGGCCCCGATGCAGTCCGGGATCGGGATGCGGTGTCGGATGGAGCTGCAAGTGGTGCTGGCCCTCGGCGCCGTGCTACGCAAGCTGGTCTCGTGAGCGCCGCCGTTTCCCACCCGCTTTGCCCGAAGTCACGATGCCGCCGTCCGGATCCTCTGGCGCGTGTACTGCATGGGGGCGTCCCGTGAACTTGACGGACCGCCCGTTCCGGGGCTGCAATCACCAGCATTGTTTCGTGCGGCACAATCGAGACTCATCGTCGTTGGTTGATTGGAGCCAGGAATTCCTTCCTTTCCAGCCTCATGCCCTGTCCCCGAGCGACCCCGTCGTCTTCTTCTTATTCTTCCTCTTCTTCTTCTTCTTCTACTGATGCTACTTGCTGCACACGGCGACTGCTGCTCATCTCCATCATCAGGCGGCGCGGAAACGGAAACCTCACCCTGCATCGTCAGGTGGGTGCGTTGCGGCGTCATCAAAAGCAGGTTTCTTCTTTTTTATTTTATTTCACAGTTGTCGTCAACTGTTTGATTTGTGTTGTGGCCCTCTCCGTCTCCGAGAGTCCGCCAGCAGGAATGCAAAGGGGTGACGTTCTCGACCTGCTTGTTGACGTTTCACATCACCAATGTTTCCTTTTCATTTCGAGCATGAAGAAGAGGGAAAAGAACCAGCAAACACACACACACACACTCTCTCTCTCTTTTCCGCTCGCACCCAGTATATAGCCAAGGAAAAAGGCCGGGCTGTTTGTGTTCTTTGTCGACGAAGGTCAGGCAGGATTGCTGTACACTTGCTTGTGTTTGGGCTGAGAAGGGCCGAGACCCTCGTCGTGTAAGAGCTTGTGTGCATTCGCGCGTCACCGGTCCTGCTTATACATGGCTGTCCTTGCATGTATTTTACTTGCGAGAGTCTCTTCCTCTTCCTCTTCTTCAAGTTTGCTGCCAACTGAGCTTTGACTTGATCGCGAGAGAATCACCGTCCCAAAAGTTAATACGGAGACGCGACGCGACGGAGTATGGGTGAGACAGGTCGAGAGACGAGTTGAGCTAGATAGAGAGTAAGAGGAAAAAAAAAGGGAGCTGCAGCATGGGTCAATAAAATCTCTCTCGTGTAAATCGGGGTCTCAATTAGGCTGAAGCTTCTACTATACTTACTATATTTTTCTCCGTTTCGATTCATTTTGCATTTGGATGCAGTCGACCAAAGAGCGTAGTGAATAATTTACCACCACGACCAAAATTTATGTTAAGAAAGGGGGAGGAAGGGGGGGGGGAGTAATACGAGTGATGCAGCTTAATCAAAGAGAGCTGAGCCATCCGCAAAGCCCCGCGGATCGGCTCAACTCTCCTCTCTGCAGCATGCAATGCATGACACCACAGCATCCAGGAATCACTTGATTCGAATAATGTGCAGGTCGGTCTGCAATGTACCTGTACTTGCAGTACTGTACTGTACTGTACATAGCGGTGGTACATCAGTGCCGCGACGTGGCCCGGCCTTTTCCTTGGCTCACTACATCAGCAGTATAGCTCAGCTTGAATCATTAAATGAAGGAAAGGTGTTGTTACACGGTGCAGTATCGTATGACCTGCACCACCACCATGCACCACTACCACCACCATGCATATACAGTACGAGTATACAGCAGCAATAAGTATGGTCCTCCAAGGACACACTGTATGCTGTACCGGGCTGGCATACGCAGTAAAAGTTCTTTTTCGACCGTGGGCATTTGTCGTCGTGTTTGTCGTCTCATCACGGGTGGACCAGCTGCGGGGATGAGATTATTGCAGTTGTTGTTTGTGCTGTGCCCTCCGCAGACTTTGAATCCCTCCCTCCTCGAGCCCATTTCCCGAATAGCCCCCCTGCGATCTGATCTCTCTTCCGGAGATTGGATGGATTCATGTCCCGAAATGTCCCACGCACGCCTCGTATCAGGGTGAGACATCGCTCGTGCTGCATTCCTCTCGAAAAGCATTCGGAAGTTTGACGAGGCGTGCGACAGCAGCTCTTTATTCCGGCTGATGGCAGCGCGCGAAACTTGGTGCAGGGATCATTTGAGTTGCAGCACCCATCTTACATTTATTTCCCTTGCTTTTCTTTTCTTTTCTTTTCTTTTCGAGACACACGCTATATATATACGAATATATATATATATATATATATATATATATATATAGGCAGTAAATAGTTTTTCGTGGAGAATCTGGTTTGTTAGCGGATATACGTGCATGCAGTGTCCTGATGCCGGAAACTAGTCGGGTGATGAGTCGCGCAAAACTTTTTTCTTGTCGTTTGTTTTCCGTGCGTATATCGCTCGCATCAGCAGTGCAGTATAGCAGAGTTTACTGTACTGTATTGATGATGTACCGTAGTCGGATTTTACCGGGTGCCGAGCGGAGAAAACGCTCTCTTTCCCCCCCATCAGCAGCACGAGCAAAGAGACTCTTCTTTCGTCATCCTTATTCCCACCAGGAGGACGTGACAGAGGAATAGGAATCTCTGCGGCTGATGACCGATTGAGGGTATACTGTATAGGGTTCGCCAATATAATACAATATAACTATACTGTACCGTAATCAACTTGCGATGGCCCGACTTATTACTGCAGACTAGTTTCATGTACCGTACTTGGTTTTCTCCAGTCAAGTTGGAATTCATTTCCCCTCCTTTTGCTTTTCGTTCTACAATATTGTACTGTACTTTGTTCTTGCCTCTGCCTGAATGCACATGTACTGTCCTTGTTTTTTTTTTTTTTATTCTGTACGGTTCAATACTGCATAGACATTTGAAAGGCAATGATCCCCCCCAAGATTGGAGATTAGATCGAGCTAGGCGGGTCCGTATTAGCAGGGACATTCCAAGGCGTGCGCTGGGCTAGTCTAGTCTAGTCTAGTGGGTGGAATATGATGACGAGTTCCGGGTGATCCTTTCTTTTTTTTTCCCCTTCTTCTTCTACTTCAGAACATTTCAGATAGCGAAGACAGAGAGAATGGGAGGCATTAATGCGGAAGCTTTCGCCAGCAACGATCTCATTCTCGGTCCCGGAAGTTGGAAGCTCGTTAGGATTTGCCCAGAAATAAGGGCGACCATTTCAGCAGCCAGGGGTGACTGTAAAAAATGAAATAAAAGAATAAAAAAAAAGAGGGAGCGAGAGAATACCGCATACTTTACGCGTATATACGACGAGTGCTGCAACTTTGATGGAGCGCGTCGAATCGCAGCCATTTGCATCCGCGTTCCCCAAGTCTGATATGCCTCGACATGTTTTTAGTGTTTTAGTGCTGGTGCGTGGGATGGAGGAGGGGATCCGGTCCAAAGCTGCTTGTAGCCACAAAAGCCGCGGCGGCTTTTGTGGCAAAGGGCAATCCCAGTACAGTACAGTACAGTACAGTGCGCAAGTGTATATATCCTGTTGTAGTAGCAGTGTTGTATAGTGTGCAGCAGTAGTAGACGAGTTCCCCGCTATTACTGTACTGCACAGTACTGTACTTGAATCGGGGATTCTGGGGGGGGGGGGGTGCGTGGAAGCCATTTCGCGTTTCATCAATATATTCGCCAGGCATGCAGGCATCAGCAGAAGCAGCCGGGTGGAAAAGGGAATCCCTGCATGGTTCTCGAAAACTTGAGCATTTGACGTCGCGGATCGTCGGACTAGACTTGTATTCCCCTTTTGCCACGTTTTTTGCAGGTGATGAAGGCGTGCTGGAGGCCGTGTCCACATGATGGAGGTGATGGAGCTCCACGGTTTTGCATGGGCGACGACCGAGTCCCCATCCATTCATCCACTCATACATGCATATACGGGATCCGTTTCTATATATGTGCGTCGTGTGTAGAGGCCGTCGTTCGTGGGGGACAGGAAGGAGAAGGAAAACGGGGTGGCCATCAGCAGACGACAGAGCGATTGTCCGCCGCGTTCCCCAACCCGACCGACCCAGCCGACTCATTAATTGTTCAATCCCTTATTGTGCAGCTGGGTCGACCAACTACTGTATATGCGGTATAGCTGCGTGGACGTCATCGGGATTCCCCGGTCTCGTCTGCAGCGCAATCAAAGAGTGTGTCCGGCGAGGATGAGCGAACTGCATGCTGTGCCTCTCGAATCGCTTCCGCACTCATCGTTCTGCACTGCGGGAACGACGAGGATGAGGGATGAAATCAAAGTCAATTCTGCAGTATTTCCTTCCGTTTTTCTCTCGTTCGTTAGTTGACCAAGTAAAGCATCATCGTCATCTTCTGAACTGGTGAAAGAGAGAGAGAGAGAGCTTATTGTGCCCAGCAGATGTAACCTCATGCAGTTCAGACCTGCATGATGAGCAACAGGATGCGAGTACAGTACAGTACACGAGATTGCTTGTTGAGCCCAACCACTCGTTTGGTGCCATGCATACTCGTATTGCTGTACGTATGCGTGCTTGCTGAATATGTGAAAACGGGCGTTTGTCTTTGTTCTTTACAATGAGAGTGAATGTATAGAGGTCTGGGTTATCCTTTTTTCTTCTTTTCCATCAGCATTATTATTATTATTATTATTATTATTACTATCACTGTATTATTATTTTTTTGACGATGTGAAAAGACGCTTGCCGCAATGTTCGGTTATACTCGTGTGTGTTCCTGCTTACCTCCCGGGAACAGAAAAATAAATGAACTTTTTCTCTCTGGTTCTGCAAACTGCCTTCAACTCGTCTTTCTTTCTTTCTTTCTCTTTTTTTTCCTGAGCGCGGCAATAAAAGGTTTCTTTCTTTTTTCCTTTCCCCAGGCTGGAAAGGACGATGTGTTTGGCATGAAATATGGCACTTGGTCACACTAGCCTTGTCTTCCGTGTCCGGGGCTTTGTTGTCGGGCATTGTGGAAATAATTGCGGCATTTCTGTTCTCTCTTGATCTCTTTTTCAGCAAGATCTCGTGCACGCGGCTGTTTCGGGGGGTTACGTTAGGGAAAGCACAGCGGAGGATTCCGGCTTTTATTGTGAAGAGAAACGAAACAACAACAAAAAAAAAGCATCGATTTGTCTTCCCTATACTCGAGTTTGTTATTCTCAGTTTCAACGCCACCAAGCCAGATAGATGACGAGGAGCCTCTCTTCTCATTGGGTCCAATGACGACAAAGTCAAGTTTCTCCCGCTACTGAACAGTCCGTTCTGCACTCTGCGGCAATAATGCAACGAGCCTCAATAAACCGCGGCGATAAGAAGCGCGCGGACGATGATGATTTCCATTGAAGCCATTCACCTTCATCGAGGCTTCCTCATCGTGTACCCTTGCACGTGCTATTATATTGATCAAATGGGAGTCTTTTCCCCCGGAACAGCAATCAGCAGACGGAGGTGCAGCTTTCGTGTTTTTTTTTTTCACTCTCGCTCTCTTTCTCTTTCTCTCTTTTAAGGGTTGGAGAGGGTACAGTATTTCCGTGAACGGGAATACTGTACTGTACTGCACAAGTGTAGAGTACGGTACTTTGTGATGAACTGCGCTCTTCCAGCCCTCTTATGCTCGGACGAGAGGCAGGCAGGCGTTCGTGTTTGTCCCAGATCATTTTGCTGCTGTTGACAACTCATAAAGACCTGATGCCTGCCTCTTGATCTTGCCGGGCCCATATCTAGGAGCTCGCGTATATACGACATACGCATATACAGTATTGCATTGTACATGTATATACACACGCACGTACGCACTGTATTATCGTATATGCTGCCCGGTACTGCAGGACTCGGTCCTCCAATTCCGGTCAGCGCATGAAATTCCATCCCATCACGACGCGGGAAATAAGGCACGGAAATCTGATTGAAAGGAAGGCGACCGCGGGGGTGCTGGAAGAGACGACGAGAAAAGGCCTTATTGCACGGTGGTCTTCGTGCAGTCAGTGAATTGAATGCTGTACACTGTACTACACTGTACTTACTCGTACGTGGAGTGCGTATCGGGCAGCTCGTCTGAGGCTCGCTGCTGGCGACCATCGAAAAATGGAGATCCCCCTTCAATCAAGTGGCACCGCTTGCCCAGCAATAAGTCGTCGGGGTAATGGACCCCTGCGATGGATGCACGCGTGCCCATCAATCAATGGGGAAAATCTCGAGGCCTCAGCTTTCAATGGCGATGAGGTTCGTCGTCGTCGTCGTCGGCGTCGGCGTCGGCGGCAGCAGCGGTAATTTGCCTCCATGGGGGGTTTTCCTGCTCCATTACGTTGATGTAAAGCCACGCATCGTTCGTCACCCTCTGCGCAGCTATAAAAGGCAAAGGATTGCCTTTTGAGGCCTGGTGATCCCCTCTCTTTTATTCCGTATGCAGTACAGTACTCACTAACGCACTCGTTGTCGTCGTCGTCGTCGTCCAGTGTTTTCTTATTTTCGTCCGTCCTCGTCCCAGCAAGCTTATTCAATTATTTCCCCGTCTGATCTGTGAATGCCTGGAAACAGGCCACAGACAGCCAGACAAACAAACAAACAAGCAAACAAACAGACAGACAAGAAGTAGAGAGACCTTTTCTTCCTGGCAAATGGCGTTTCCATTTGAATCCCGTCTTTAATCCGGATTGCTCACCATCACGGGCGGATGGCATTTCCTCATCCGGCGTTTGGCTTCCCCTACTGATGGAAGACGGAATGCGGGGATTGAGGCGAAATTCAATCCTCTTCCGCTCCTGTCTCTAATGCACAGGTCGGTGCACTTCACTTCGTTTCCTCGGGATTCATCTCGTTTTTCCCCAGCACCATACATGCGGTGCAGCAGTGCAGTATAGCTTCGGCATTCCTCCTCTCAACCTGTTCCTGAGCGTTGCTGGGGGGCAAGGACAAGCACGAGGGGATGAGTGGGGATATGGGATGGATCGGAGAGCTGAGCCAGCACCAGTCAGTCACTGATCCTATATATGCAGCAAGAAGGGAAGAGAAAAAGTTGACGCACAAGTTATGCTTGATTCGGAAAGCAACAATAAGTACAGTACTGTCATAACAATGATAATAATAATAATAATAATAATAATAATAATGCAAATAATGTCCTGTATACCGTCAAATAAGTGGGTCACGGCCTGTCTGAGTCGACGCACTTGACTTGAAAAAAACGGATCGACATCGACTCACGCCATAGCAGCATGGCATGGAGCATTTTTGCGAGAAATCAGCACGGCACGCTTTCTTTTGGCATCCGACAACCGCCCAGCACCGGATGAGATAACCCGTCGCATGCTGGTGCTGCTGCTCCATGACTGCGAGGAATGCAGCTACAGCATGCTGTGCTGGTGTGAGTGGGACGGTTTACCAGGGCCGGGTCTGACGCCGGCCAAAGGGAATGCTGACAACGGCCTCCGCGCGTCCCAGAAAATGCAGGATGCTCCAGTTTCTCAACGACTCTCGCTGCAGAAGCATGAAATATTGAATCGAAGCCTTGTGGCGGCGTAATGCCCGCGACGACGGCGTTCATTTTATCGCCGCGATAACGAGTGGTTTGACGGCATCGAGTGCTGCTAAAGTAAGTAAGTAAGTAAGTACAGTACAGTACAGTTCCCTGTACAGTACTGTACTGTTGGCGCGGATGAGCGACTGAGGCAGCAGCGCGGCACTCGATGATACTGTACTGCTGTATATGCCTAGGCTGAGAGGTTCTTTGCGGCAGCATGCAGCAGATAATTGCCCCATGATCAGGTCTTTCCCTTTTTTCTACAGTAAAGTACAGTGCTGTACCTCACAATGCAATATTCTTCGACATTTCAGTTTTCAAGGTGGACAGCAGGAGCTATTCACGAGCTTAAAGGAGCCTTGTTGTTTAGCGCGATCAAAACTGCATGTAGATGTCGCGATTAGTCACACAACTTGCTGCTGCCTCATCTTATGCAGGAGACCGTAATAATGTTCTGGGGTCCAACTTATTACTTGATGTTCTTCAAATCGAACACTCTAGCGGATCGGCTTCAGTAAACGACGTTCGTCATGGCCCCTGTCCTCGTCATCGCAATAACGCTTGACCAGCATGCTTCTATCGGAATTCCTTGATGCGCATTGTGGAAGTTGGAGGTGGCAAACTAGGTGTAGGAATGATTAGCGTTCGTGTCGTGAGAATCGTGGTTTTCCTCGCTCTATATTGGAGGCCAGCAGCAGCTCAGGAAATGCATGCTTGACGCAATGAAAACTCGAAAGAAAATGAATCAAGCATCGAGTCATTATTCCGAGGCCAGCCTGGATGATGCGTCCGTTTGTCAATAAGTGTCGGCGACGCACGGAAGTTAATTCCTCTTGTTATGGATGAATGCGCTGGCGATGATAAGCACGTTTTTGCCTATACAGTATACCAGACGATTAGCGATACGACTAACCTCTTTCGTGAGTTTACTTTACAGTACTGTACTGTTGTTGATTAATGGCCGGCTCTTCCTTGGCATAGTTAACGACAAGAAAGAAATAAATAAACTCCGGACATCACTCGCCTTTTCTGTGATTATACAGTACATCAGTACCGTTACTTGGAAGGATGAGGCACAGCACCTCTCATCAGGCTTATATACCATAATCTCGTTGTTTGCCGCTTTTAGCGACTGTAATGAAAGGCACGGGTGGATTCAGCCTACTGTATACAGTATACAGCTAACGATCATGTTGGACAATTATGCACGAGAGGAAAATCTACATACCGTTATCTCATTATCCAACAACCTCCATCCCTCAAAAAATGCCAAGGCGCTCAGATGGAGCCACTGCACGGAAAATAAATAAATTCATGAAGTCGTAGACCGAAGTTCCTATAGTCAATTTCTAGAATTTCTAGATCCATGATGTAAGAATGCATGGTACTGCGTGACTCGACGTCAGGTCCGGAAAATCCCTTTACTACTGGGCTGTACTTATATCGTTTCACAAGTTGGTGAACTTGGCTGACATGTCAGATCCAATCTCTTTAAACTCAGATTCAACAGGAGTACAAAAATCACGAACTCGTGAAAGAGTGCGGACTTTTGGAAATTTACTTGTGTGCCACTTAAGACGCCAGCAGTTTCCTGCAAGACCATGAACCCAAGAATATGACGACAACACTTCGTGCGTGCAAGCAAACCTTTAAAATCATCTACAAACGAAGGTAGGTGTCACTCTCATTTTCTCGAAAACAGCTCGCTCACAGCCGGAGACCAGAAGACAATCTCGGAATCGAAACGAGAGAGAAAGAGAGAAATCTTGAATGCAAAAAATTGTTCCCATTATTTTTTCTAGTTGCATTCATTATGAAACTTATTTTTTTGCCATGCTTTAACGCTTCAAAATAAACTTTGTACGCATTTTTTTCTGCCAAAGTAAATGCTGCTTTAAGAATAATTGCGGCATTAACGTTCCCCTGAATTCCGTGGAATGATCCACCGAGTAAAAATGCTCACTGCTGAAAAGCCACTCCGCGGATGTGGACCGCTCCCCTGTCAGGGTGGAGTATGCTGTGCCTGGGGAGTTATTTGCCCAGCCTCCTACACCGGAGTCCGAGCCAAGGAGTTATTGACTTTTGCAGAGACGAGAAGAAACAAAACCACGAGAGATTCACACGCTTTTTTTTTCTTCGTCATTCCTGAAGCATCATATGCATGTTTGGAAATGCAGGCATCAGAGCCAGCAGAGAGAGAGAGAGAGAGAGAGAGAGAGAGAGAGAGAGAGAGTGATAGAGACCGAGTCACCGTACGGTACAGTATTTATACTCGTTCAATGCACAGACTAGCCAGCAGATCACGCGCTCGGCCGTCCGAGTAGAGGGAGCTATAAGGAGAATATCCCACGTCATCACGTTGTAGTCGTTGAATCAAATGCCTTCGATGGTGATGGATGAACCGTCATCAGAGGTCAGAGCGGGCCAAATACCCGCTGACCCCGGGAGCAGAAGATGGAGAAGCCGATGAGGGCCGCGATGAATGTGGCCATGGCCAGGGACGCCCAGGCGCAAGTTCCTGCCCGCCGCGCCAAAGTCCGCCGCCTCTTCCGTGAATGCTCGTTCCACGTCCCGCCGTGATGGAGATGGTCCATCGTGAAGTCCGGCACTGTGGGGTACCGACTCTGAAAAGAAATGACAACAACAAACAATAACCTCCGTAGAGCTATAGTGGAGGCATGTTGTTGTTGCTGCTGTTGCTGCTCCCTTATTCACCGCCGCAACAGCGCTCAAGCTGCTCGATTATTGCCAGACTGCTTATATGTACAATACAGTATTGCAATGCGCAATGGGAGCCTCGTTCGACTCAGGATTGCGAGTGACGACGACCGTGATGGGAATCACAAGAAGAAGAAGAAGAAGAAGTGATGACCAGGCTACCGAACTCCCGACGCCGAGGAACCGAATGACGTCCTCAGCCGTCCTTCCACGCAATCCCTCGCGCGCCCGATCAATCGAGGGAAGCGGAAATGCCGGTGCCATCGTTATGGATGATGCTGCTGCGGGACAATGACAGCGAAGACGACAACGACAACGACGACAAGAACAACTGAACGGGACAAGGACGCTCAAACGAGCCCTTGTTTTTCCAGCATCAGAGCTGCATGGGGTGAATTGCGAGTGTTGTGGGGGCTGCATCATCGTGGCAATATACAGTACTGTACATATAGTTCGATCGGCTCAAGTGAATTTTGCCACGGAATTTTGAGTTACAATGCGCGTACTGTGCACCCGTGATCGAAAAGGTGTCTAGGAACAGCTCTGAAAATCCGGATTTACTTTACTGCCTTGCGTGCACAATACGGTATGTGCATGCACTCTCATGAATGAGCGTTTAATCTCCCGTATACTGATGGCTATTATAGATGCCTTCTTTCGGAAGAAAAAAAAAAGATATGAAAATGAATAATAATGATCACATGACGAAAATGTCGTTTCGTAAAGTCTCGTTGGATTCAATTTACTGCATCAGCATCGTGAGCAGTGAAGAAATGAAATGAAATTATTCCAACTATATAGGTACAGTAACTGCAGACAGAACCTTGTCGAAAAATTCTTTAGCGGTCACAGGACGCGTGCGTACAACTACGGAGATCGGTCTGTCACTTATTTGTTTTCATACGGGAATGGTTCATAAAAGCCCACCGATTGTATAGGTTCTGCTCGACCGTATTGCAGTGCAGTGCTGTAGAAACGAGGGACAGTGCTAACGTCACGACAGTGTCAGTCATTGAAAATATATACACGGTATATATATTTATATATAGTACAAATATGTATATACAGTATACACAGTACAATACTGTATAAGAATTACATGCTGTACCTTTATTTTTCCAAGAAATGACTGGCTCTTTGCAGAAACTTCAGTACCATCCCTCGTATACTAGCTTGCACAAGTGCACAATTGAAGAGGGCTCGAAGGAAATACAGCACTGTATACAGTAATTGCTGAGTGTGAGCCTGAAGGTATTTTTAAAACCTGTTTCTGCGGAAAATGACGTAATTTTTGCTTTAGAAAGGGATGGAGTCCATGAGTCAAATTTCCTCGGATGCTAGCTACAGGACATTTTAATTGCGTGAAATCTCCCAACATTTCCGGCATTCTCGAGATGAAAACACGTTTGAGGTTGACGGGTGTTATGCACAGTATTGAGTTAATAAAAGGGGAGCTTCGCATTGTTGCTGACGGGCAGGATTCCTCAGTTTGAAGAAGAAGAAAAAAAAAAGAGTTCGGGACACGGAAGAGTGCATGTACGGAATTCTCGCTCGCGTCACCTGACCCGAGTCGTCGGCAACCATCAGCAGACCTCGTCCTTCACTCGGAAATGCCTCACTGACCTACAGCATTCTTAGAACTCGCGTCAAGTTCGACTCACCAACCGGGGCAGGTACTGCATTCCGTAGAAACGGGGGTCGTGGATGGTCGGCAAGTCCATCTGTCCATACTTGACCTCTCCTTGCTGTCCGTTGAACGAGGATGAGGTGATGTCAGTCCACCGCAGCGAAGAAACTGATGCCTCGTCCTCAATAGTAGGTTCAGTGCCCTGACAAAATCAATAAGATCCGCGGCATCTACAGCATACAGTAGTTTGCAACAGGTATTTTTTATAAATGCAGCTGCATTGGATGCGAAAATGACTACATACATATGCTGTACTACTGTACATAATTTATACAACCTTCATTTCTTGAAACGTGGACTCATAACTTATTGCGAATGCACTTATTAGCTACGGCCTTTACGTCATCGTCAACTGAATCCAATTAATGTGCAGTGCATAAGAACCTGAACGCAATTTATTTTTCTTGTGCCTGTGTATTATCCTGTCTGATGGGTATCCGTGAAAGAGCCCATGAATATAAGTTCATGATGCATACGCTGAAGACTCTCACTCTCTATCCTTGGTGACTTAGAAGCTTACATAGTTGGCATACGTTTTTTTTTTTTTTCTCGCCTTGTCGCGAATAAGTGTTGCATTTAGTATTGTGTCGCAGTTTCAACTGCGATCTCTTGAAACGAGTGATTATTGGGATGCAGCTGATGGTACGGCCAACAACTGTTTTTGCCTAAATTTAATGCGACATCTAGGCAGAAAGGGACAAAAAAACTCAGCATCTCAATCTTTCTACGAACAGATGACCTGGACAGACAGCCAGATAGGTGCCGGATTCTAGAACCCTGCATTCCGAAATTACCCCTCCCGTATACTGTACAGTACTGTACTGCTGTCGTAAAAATTTTCCTTTCCTCTATGCTCAGGGCTTCGCGTGTCGTACGTAAATACTGTATATTTAATATCTGCGCTGAAAAACACTCAAGTCACTTCTGTTCCACCAAAACCCTTTTGAATGTCGTGTATACGAGAATACAAGCACGTACATCAGTATAACGGACGTATTTTACTGCTGTACTGTATTAAATTAATTGCAGCATTTATGACTTGACCGACTATACTTATGGGATGAGACAGATTATAACTCATCAGAAGCGTGGCTTTCGGTGCAGAACGGACACGTAATCCACATTGACCTGTCCATGAAATAATTTAACATTCAGTATAATATCTATACTGTACATGCATCAGTTTGACTGAAACGAGAAAGTTGAAATTGACATGGTGTAAAAAAAAGAGGCTTGAATAACACTTGAAGAGAGAGAGAGAGAGAGAGAGAGAGAGAGAGAGAGAGAGAGAGAGAGAGAGAGAGAGAGTTTATTCTTCCTCCGATCGACCATCATTAAAACTCTTGGAAGTTCGTGAGGCAGGAAATGCGGCGATATTGTGCAGCAGCAGCCTTTGCTCGATCGCCGGGCAAAGACCGCTGCCCCCGCTCAGCGGAGCAGAAAATTGATCCACTCTTTTGTTTTGCCTCAGACTGCATATATAGTCCTCCAATTAATGTCTTCACTCAGACTCAAGGTGAGGAAAGAAGAGAAAGAAATAAAGAAAGAAAGAAGGATAGATAGATAGATAAATAGATAGATAGGTAACTGGATGGATGGATGGATGAATGAGTAGTAAATGTGAATATAACGAGCTTTCGCCTTGTCATTGAACTCCCTTTGTTTCGGATAATCGTTCTTCCCACACACAAAAACCGAACGCTTTCCGCAGGTGTAAAATTCTGCCACTTGTTCCGCTTGCTGCGTCGAGGATCAATTTGAGGTTTGGGAACTACCAAGACCAAGCCTAACTGGGCTGTACAATACGATTACTGAACTGTATATACAGCACATGGAAGGCGAAACTGCTGTCGTGCTTGGCGCGGGACTCCGGTGGTATAACAACATTCAAGTCGTCGAAAACGACAAGCGTGTGATGGTCATCAAACGAGAAAGCAAGACGTCGCCCGGTTTATTGTTCAATGGGGCAACAACGTCCGTCGTCTTTACTCCACAAAAAATAAAATAAAATAACATAAAATGAACAATGCGATGAATCGAAGTTCAGCAATAATAGAGCAGACGGTGTACAGTACAGTACTACAATATTTACATCGCACCACAGCCTTGCCACGGGAGTGTACACACAGTATATACATACATTACATACTCACAGGAGATGGAGGCGAACACAGGTGACGAGAACCGTCAGCAGCAGGTCCGTCGTCCACTCGCGGGCAGGATGCTCGGTGATGATGAGACCTTTGCAGCCAAGGTTCGAGCAGCAGGCGTCCCGGTGGCGTCGGATCCACGTCCGTCTCCGTCGTCTCGACTGCTGCTCCTGCTGCTGCTGCTGGTGGTGTCCGTCGACCGGGATCCGTGAGGGCCAGCAGGCTCTCGGTCACCAAGGAATCCACCGGCGCAGCTTCCGCATGCTCAAATTTCAGATCACAGTAACCTGCGGCGGGCGGGATTCGCGATTTGAGTCAAAAGCCTCCGGAAATGAATTTGATCGGGTGATGTACAATCCCACTCTCTTGATGGTCAACACACCAGCATACAGCCTCAAGTACACGCGACACGTACGTGATGATGCTACTGATACCCAAATCGTGCGTGATTTTCCCCTCCGTCAGCCCACAACAATAATAAGTGAGAATTGAAAACAGCCTATTGCTTCTTAATATGAATACAATCTTCAAAGTCTCTGTCTGTCTCGGGGAAAATCCCTAGGACCATCTCCCTATACTGCCTCGCGTTTTGATCGCGGGCGGGGGATATAGAAGCTAGGAGAACTCAGAGGGCCTCATTGGGAAGTAATGAAAAGACTCAACAATAGCAAGTATTGTGCTGCATGTGCAGTACTCTGCTTTTTATCCCCTGAAATAAAAGTCACCATGGTCATTCCATTCTTCTCTGCAGCATGCTTGGATGAATTCCGATGTCCCGAAGCCGAGCGTGATGGAAAGACGTTCAGCAGCATGCAAATCGGGTTTCTCAGTAGATTTACGCGTACAAAATACTGGTTGCTGATGATATATACTTGTTGGCTCATTTCTGGCTACTTCAGGAGACGAGGGAATTTCATTTGATTGTCTTGGCCCTCGGTTTCTTGTCCTTTTTTAGTTTACTCCCTTTTTATGCACGAACCCATGCCTCGCCTTTTTCGGTAAGCGTAGAGCTGTGCTTGCTGGCGGTGTATAGCTGGTATTTGCGTCCCCGTCACTATACTGTACTGCATGTACGGTGAAGACGCGAACCTGAACAGACGCAGCAACATTATAGAGAAGCTAACCTGCAGAGCTCGTGACTGAGGAGACAATGGTGGGATTAATTTGTCAGCGTGCTGGTACGAAAGTGCGCCCACAACACTTGCCTGTCTGTAAAGCAGTATAATCCCATATACAGTTACTGTGTGTGCATCACAGTACAGTACAGCCTGCCAAGAACATGAGGGAGTTGTGGCAATCTTATCAATTCATGCTGAAAGAAGCAAAGTACTGCACAGTACCTGCGACTGTCCGGTATAGTATTAAGATTGCTCTCTCCCCCCCCCCCCCCCCTCTACCCCTTCATCACGAAGCATCGCCAGCAATAGCGTGATTCTTTCATATGCTGCGGAATATGACCTCCACCACGTATTGCTCCAATGGCAAGGCTAGCTTGAGGTGCTTGTTCAACAATCCGTGAATGCAACCATCAAGCTCATCTCACGCGAGGACGTCATCGGGGCGGGGTTTGCAGAAAACAGCGACTTTTTCTGGCCGCCCGATTCAATGCATCTTCCCTATATACTGGCATCATTTAAATGAAGCTTACTCAATACAGGAAGGCTGTATATAGTGGTCAGCAACTCACGTACAATTCGAGTCTATATTTAACGAAATTCAAAATCGAATTTTCACCGACAACACCGATCGATGACATCGCGGTATCGCAAATGGACAAATGAATAAATCTAGAATCCTCCTCCCAACGAGTCGACTCTCGGACGAAGGGAATTGAACTATACTGTGCTTGCCTGTGTAACATGAATCATCAGTGTTCCGAAGTTGAAATCGCGGCTTTCCATCATCCTGCTGTGCGCTCGAGATAAAATCAACGAAGAGGTGGGAAAACTCGATGGATCAAAGCCCGCCAGCATCTCGACCGTTATTCTAGCCTTTATTGCAATGCAGTACACTGTGCTTTTTTAGAATACAGTAAGCTTATGGAGTTTATATATAGAGGAGCTATATAGTCTGTACTGTATAGAGATACGCGCTGTACGGTACAGCAATCTAACTTGTTTTGATCTTTGTTTCATGGAAAATATCCCCTCCTTTTCATGCGCATTTCTTGAAGAAACTAGGAAAGTCTGATCAAGAAGACCGCACACCGTTTTTCGTTCTTCGTTCTCAATTAATTTTCATTTGATTTTATGATACAGTATTTTGTTTATTTTTCGGCTTGTGCCGCATATGTCGTGTCACAACGACGAAAAGGGGAAAAGCAGTGGGTCTCCATCCAGGCAGGACTCGACACGTGCCATGGACCCAATCCTTCAGCCAAGTTTGAGGGAGCCAACTGTCGACCACTTTCCACAAGCTGAGCTGCCGTAATAAATTTACCGCTGCATGTGCACTATATAGCTGTGGCAAGTACAGTATGAGTATAGTTTCTCTCGGTTTGTATCGGGGCCATTGCCATTCACGCTTTCCAAGTCGCATTTACGCTCTTCAGGTTTCATCTCCACAACAGATAACACTCTTGATTGAATGTCATTGGTGACTCACTGAGCCTGGGTCAAAAGTTCCAAGTCAAACGCATTATCGACGCCTTTCTTCGAACATGCATCCGAAAGCGATTCATCTCAAAAGTCATCATCTCCTCGATGATCACTCCCCTTTTCCTCGCCACTTTTCTGCCTCAAGCGTCCGACGATCAAAAGAAAATAAGAACCAAAGAAACAATCCTTGATCGAGCAGTGAATTGTAAAGACACCCGCAAATAACCGTGGGTAGAGTTAGTTCCATTCGAGTAAAAGTGATAGCAAAACTATATACAGGATTTGTCTTGGTTTTCCTTGTGATGCTGGGAAAGGCACGCAATCGTCCCCCAGATTTTTATCTTCCCGACCACCATTCCTCAAATTTGATGATGACGTGGAGGATGATGCTTCATTATTTGCACCCGCGGTTTGTAGAGGAAGAGCACCAAGTTCCTCCAACACGACTGACTGCTGCTGTACCCAATCGACGGGCATCAGCAGTGGGGTTTCACCAGGCAGCAGGCCAGCGGTGGTATATGGATGACGATGGATTCCGGACCCGAGTTGTCAAGTCAAGTCAGGTCAGGGAGAGCAGACGTGGACTAAAACTATTTACGAATTAGACCCTTAACCTATACACTATATAGAGGATGCAACTCGATGCATTGCCGCAGTTTCCTCGTCAATGCGAGTCAAACAAATTTCCCAACATGACGCGTGCCTCGCGTCCCTTGTACTGTACTGTTTGACTCGCTCGAGAAGGCAGCAGCAGCATGCACTGTGCAATACAGTACTAAATTGTACTTTACGGAACAAGTATTGTGCTGGTTGGTTGTACATATACGCAGTACTGTGCTGTACATCAGTCTCATGCTGAGTATCTGCGTACAGTACACACTTGTTGGGTTTTATCCGCGCTCCAACTCTCCATGTTTGGTGTCGTGCTACGTGCATGGTTGGCATTGAAAACGCGGTCATTTTACGGAAGGCCCAGCAGCAGCAGGCGGAACAACGTGTCCAGGGGCATGTTACGCGAGGCAATTGAGCACCGCAGAGCGAAAGCTGAGCTTGTTCTGCGAAATTGATTACGCTCACCGGATCTGCAAAACCCAGGGGACCCTTGAATCATTGACTGGCGCACCGGCACCTGGGCGTTTGATGCGGTTTCGTTCCCGGCACCCGCATTTCCTGGCTGCTGACAAATGGCCTTCTTCTTCTCCTCCGCCAGCACACACGGGCAAAAAGATATGTAGTAATCACCTACGTGTTACGGATCACGGCGAGATTCCCCCAGTGGGATTCCACTATACCGTACAGTAAACTAGCTGTACTGTATATACTCGCTCGCTAGCTCGGAGGTTCCTTCCATTGCTGTACAATAACACGGGGGTTCCGTTCAGGTTTATACGACCAAACTGGATTCTGGGATGATGCTCAAGCGGCAATACCACCAGACTATAATGGCCGTCTCTGCATTTTTCTTCTTTTTGTTTTTCTTCTTCATTACCAGCAGCGGTAGCGAGCAAGTAGCAGTTTCGATAATAAAATACTCGACTTATTTCCACATCACGACTGCTATACCCTGTGATGCCAAATTGAAGGAACCTATTAACGCGAGACACCATACGTGCTGCATGAAGTCGGTTATTATTGTGTCAGCATTCAAATCTCTTATTGCACACATCAGTACAGTACGTATTGGCAGCACAATAAATACAAGCAGTTCGCAACTGCCTTCAGAAATCTTCTGGGGCTGCAGAGCCACTGTAAGTAGAGATCCACACTACAGCTAGTACATAAATCCCAGAGCCGACCATCAGAGTGCAAAAACAGGCGAGAGCGTTTATTTTATTTTATTGGTGACTCGGGTAATTTTAGTTCGGAGGGAATAAATAAGGAGTCTTTGCTAATAAAGTGGACGTCGAATATTTATACAGAGAGCGAGAGAGAGAGAGAGAGGAAAGCTAGGGCCGGCAGGATTTCGATTTCTTTTGGCCAGGAAAATTGAAAACATACTAAATACCGATAGTACTGTATTGATGGCTTGTTGATATACTGTAGAAGGACATCTACATGCGAACGTTAAATGTCTCTTGACTCTCCATCAGTTGCTACTGTACTCGGTTACTGTTCATTGACTCATGACCTCGATGGATTTCGATCATTTCTTTATTTGTCTGTGTGCTGGGACCTGGTGTTGCTGTCTCGCCAGAGGGCTTATTCAGATCCAGGGTGTGCGCAGTCGAACCACCGTGTTCATCTGTCAAGTGTACGGTAGGCCTTTTCACCCAGCCTCACATCATCACATGCTCGTTCATAGAGCCCCAGAACTGGAAACCCAGAACCCCAGCAGCAGAGGCGCAGAGATGCTCGAGACGATAAAGCGGACTCTCTCAAGAGGCCTGGCATCCTGAGAAATTCACCGCCAGAAGTTTCAGCAGACATGCATGCTGGTAACTGCAGACTATACTGTACACGAGTAGGCATGCATGTGCAGTACGGTACGAGCTATCTACATTTTTTTCTACCTTTCCCCGACCACGGCCACATTGATCAGAAGAAGAAAAAAAAAACCATTTTGAATCCAGCCGACTGCACGAATACTTCAACTCGAACTGAAAAAAAAGATGATTCCATCTGCCCTTCAAGTTAAAATACTGTAGATCGAACGCGGACCTACTGGACTACTGATGGTGCTGCCAGGTCACTATATTTACATTCACTCGGATTAACGATCCAAACTCCGTGCAAAACTGTGCGGAGGTGCCAGAGACTAAATCGAGTTCACGATCCCTCTTTTTTTTTTTTTTTTTTTTTTACCCCCTTTCAATGCTTAAATTGACATCCTTGCACGCGAAAATTAATAGGAACTCGTTCGACTTGAGCCTTTGAATTGAAAGGGCCCCGGGGCGTATGCATAGGTGTTGTGCAGTTTCTGTGCAAAGTCAGCACAGTATATATGTCGACTTTACCGTCAGGCGGAGGCGAAAAGAAAACACGTGGGGTCAGGTCACCGAGGAGCGGAATAATGTCCGGAAATGGAACAGAATAATGCAAGCGGCTTCCGTCCAGATTATTTGCCGTTCCTCGGGATGAAAAACGAGAGGAGTTCATGAAGGATACTTCGCCCTGGCGGGACGACGATTCGTCTTCTCTTATTCTCTCCATCGTCAGTGAATACGGGCAAACGAGTTTAAAATGGAATTCAAACTAGTTTAGAGTTGAAAGCTTTCAGCAGCCTCCGAGTCTCGATACTGCGTATAGGCCAGGTACAGAACAGAACAGAACAGACGTACCGGTACATGACAGTGCTTGCCAGGCAAAGCAAGGGCATGAAAAGTGCCAAAGTTTGGCACGGGCATCAGCATGCATCAGGGAGTGTACGTCCTCGAAAGCGAAACATACGCCTTCTGGTTTAAGAAAACGTGACACGGGGGCCCCTCAGCTTATTGCAGCAGTATGTATATACTGTAGTGTAGAGGCTTTTCGCCCAAGTTTCTTGGATAATTCCATTTCCTTTTCGGCTAATTCCGATTCCATTTCCTCGTGCTCGCACTCATTTCCTCGGAGCGAAACCAATAGAGCTCATTTTGAACACGACCTTCCGCTGCTTTCGAAATTATCACAAGCCTCGTATTTCACTCTACGTACTGTGCTGAATTCTGGTTTGGATCAGTAGCAGTCAATCGGCTGCAAGCATATTTCTACTGCTCAACAAAATAAACAATTCATAAAAAACAGCTTGAGAAGTCTTCGAGACTCAAGTGTACAGTACGTACCGCGTCCCTATTGAATCTCTTCAGACTGACTAGACTATACAGGAATATACGGTAATATTCAATCACAAGCCCGTCCAGATTTTTCCATTACTGAAACCGCAATACGTGAGAGATATTCGCGCGTGAGAATCTGAAAAATCTTTCACCAAATCGCAGCGACACACACGTGCAAATTACTGTATCACCATCAGATACGCGCAAACCATCGAGGAGCTTACATTATCATTTCGATCCAACATCGAAACATCAACGATGACGCGCACAAACCTATCTGAAATTTTACCAAAAATACTCTACCCGCTCAAGATGCCCACCTAACTTTTCTCTTGCAGTTTTTGAAAAGAAAAAGTGCGTGTGGTTCTGCGAAAAGGTTGGTACTGATATGTTGCATGACAATTAAGACAGTTAATCAGTCTATGGTCTTGACTAGTGGAAACGTCATCAGACATTGCGGCCTTTCTTTTCTGGTGTCAATAACACTGTACTGTACTTCTGTTTTGCAGCACGGATGCTATTCAAGTACTGTATAAAGCAAACAAAATTAATTTAATAAATCAATCAAAAATTACATCATTTAACTCTTGTGAACTCAACAAATAAGATTTTGATCCATGGAATTTTTTCCCGTTGGCTTTTTGGAGTGAAACAATGCTGAAATGGTGCCCATAAAATAAGTATAGTGGTACGCACTGTATCTGTTATAGTGGGAATGCCTTTTTTTCATCATGAAACTGGGGCTCGAAAAAAATGTTCTTCGGAATGAATGGATAGAGGGAAATAATTAATTTGTGACGATGAAAATGTACCTATAATGTGTAAGGAATATGAAGCCAACTTTTACTCTTGAACACATAATTTCAACGAGAGGCGCCATCTTTCAATAACTGCTGACGAAAATAACCATCTGACTCAAACTTGAAGATAAATTTGATGGATTGAAGAAAATGTCCTTTTCGGCCAGTAGACCAGGGGCGTTGAACACGGGTTGTTGCAGTAGAGTATTACAGTGTGTGATTAATCTCAGAGAATCGCTGGTACATTAGAGTACAGCAGCACAGTAGTGTAGTGTAGTGTCGAATCTGAGCTGCGTCCAGCAGGGTTGGGAGGGAGCGAGCGAGCTCGACCCCGCGGGTGCTGAATAAACTCATCGTATAAAGTACGCGGATAATGGTGGAACACTGCAAAACAGCATGCTGGTGTATAGCAGAGCTGCCGTACAGCATGGTAGACATTATCCGTCCTCACCGTCAGTATGTGACGCGGTCCTCAGGTGACGGGGCTCCAGGGGTTGGGAGCCCGGGTCAGGCGCAAACAGTGGGTTCCGCGTCACTCTCACCATCATCACGCACTGCGCCGGGGCAAGCATGAGGCTCGGCTGGCACTCGAGACTACCGTACGTACGCGTTTCCCGCTAAAACCACGTCTTCCGAGTGCGACCGACTCCCGCTGCTTCACATGGCGTACTGCCTGCCGCCACACGTTTTCCTCGGGTTCAAGTTCGCCTTTATCGTCCCCGCTGTTGTTTCACTACATTACATTACACTACACTACACTACAGTACAGTACGATACAGGGTGCCGGAATATGCGGCCGAACAGCATAGCAGCTGCGCGGTTCGGGTTGGGCCGTGACCTATACGAGACAGTACTCTTGAGTGCTGGAGCCGTATATACGCCCCGACGATGAGTCAATAATAAGGGCTGCAATCATGCAGTATCCTACGAACTGAACTGTCCGTGCTGTACTTTACAGTTCTTGTATCAGGGATAACCATCATTTCAGATGAGTGCAGCATCCGGCGTGCATGATGATGATGGGCACACGTACGTATCGCATCTTATATGCATAACTTCGAGCCACTTACGATCAAATGTACTACTGTATATAGTGCGTTGATCATTTTGGCATGTACAGTATTACTGTATATGCGCTTGTATTGTTTTTTCAAAGAATTTTTTATATTAATTATTATTATTATTGCTATTATTATCAGCATTATCCTTTTTCAAGTTTTTTTCTTTTCTTTTATCAACCCGTATGCGGGAATCTACGAGGTGGTTGGGCAGGATGAAAGTGTGCGAGCCGATTGTATTGTGGATGGAGCTCATCTAGTCATCCATACTGCTGTATACGTGCAGTACTGTACGGTATGCAGGATTTTCGTACCCGCAAATGTATTGCAGTTGGTGCTCGATCTGGACAGCATCGCCACCGAATCGACACCTGCACATGGATTTGTCCTCGCTCATCTCACTTATAGTTATTACTCCGTGGTTACGGAGGAAGGTCATCAGCGATGAAGATGAAGGTGCGACGATGATTTCTTCACCATTACACGATGCCGCGCATGCATGCAGAGGACCGGCGGAACGCATCGAGGCATGTTTTCACTTGTTCCGGTGCTTGATACGGATCGCGCCTGCTTCAGAGTTCTGAGTTTAGCCAGGTGCGGGAGACACGGACGAGAGAGCAACTGGTGAAGGCGAGTTGCGTGGAGGACGGACGGACTGACTGACAGACGCTTGGTGTCCGTATCCTGAATAATGGGCAGGCAGCACGACGCCGGAGGATAGGCGGAAGCTGGCCCTTGATCCATCCGGACATTGTGTCTCCCAACAGCAGCAGTCCTCCTGCGTCATACTCGGTTGTCTCATATCGTGACGCTTTGCCTGGGTTGGCATCATCATGCCACTTCCTGCTTATCTCGCTGCACGCGCGCCTCGGACACCGGAAAGTCCCAGGTACTGTACTGTACAGTATTATATACAGTAGTGAACAAATTCTCTGCCGAAACTCCTCGCTCATTATCATTGCGAGTAGCCAAAAATGAACAAAGGAGCTTCTTGGTCAGAGGAGGCCCATATACAGCTCATCATGAGTATAACATCAGCCCTACTTATTTAATGTAATCACAATAAGATATTGGCTGTATGCAGCGGACGGACTCAAGTCTTGCCCGTCTCAAGGAAATCGAGGAACTTGTCAACGTGACAATAACTTGTGTCTGTCTGTGTCTGTCTGATCAAAAGAGGAAATAAGTCACTGCTATGATGGATGAATTATGGCGTGTTATTGTCATTACTACACGAGGGACAGAAATGCGCCTGTGCAACAATTGAGGACTATTCCCGGGTGTGGTGATTCATGTCCTCGAGCATCAGACATCGGAGCTGTGGTGTGATGTCCCATTATACGCACAAGAAAAAAATGTCAAGACGGACAAATATCGGGAAATGCATTTATCCTAGACTGCCTGCATGAATAATTAGCCACGTCTTCAACGCCAGGCGTCCATCAATCAGACATCAGAATAAAGTAAAGTACTGTACTGTACTGTGCTCGGAAGAATCCGGCGAAAAGCGTCCTTTTCATACGGCCCAACCGCAATAATTCCAGTCTCTTGCAAATGCCCAGCATTTTCTCCTCAGGTATACACACCTATTTTTATTTTTTTTTTTTGGCCGAGCAGAGGAGTAGACCTTCCTGTGCTACGTAAAATTCCTTCCTCAATTATTCAACTTTGCCATTTCCTTCAAAAAATTGGACTTTGAAAATCCCGAAAGACAGCATGGACAGAAAGCCAACACTTTTTGGGTCGAGAGGTTGGAAATGTCTCCGAGAAAACAAGCTTCAATCTTCAAATGGATTTGCGTCCGAGAAACAGGGTTGTACACGCCGTATGTACAGTATTCATTTTCAGTATAATTCAAATCGCTCGAGATTTGAATACTGTGAGCAGTGTTGAATTAATGACTAATACGGAGGCATCGTGCCCGCGGATCATCGAGATACGTTGGCACAGCAGCATATACAGTACAGTACAGTACAAAGTAAAAAAAAAAAAAGGCAGACTTATTCCTGAAGGAGAGCCTTGAAATCAGGGAAGCATGCATCCGCGTGAGGAAAGTGCTTTGTTCTCACTTACTTGACACAGTCATGCCGACGAGTTTTGCTTGCGTCAGTCTTTATCTTCCTGTTGGACAAATAAAGACGCACGGTCAAGGCTCTGTATGGAGAGGAAATTCAGAGAAAGAAACAATGAACCATTCGTCTCATCGTCGCGTGGATAAAATAACCCTTACTTTTCCGAAAACGAAAAGGAAAGTCGTCGCGGTTCATCTCGTCGGCCTTCTCAGTCTCGTGGAAAATGCTGCCATATAAACTGCGGCACACTTTACCTACATTGCTTTGCGTTTTGTTTTGTTTTGTTCGTCTTGAAAGGATTCCTTGTGGAAACTTCCCATCCTGTACAGGGTTCGCAATATATGAAATGACAAAGAAACCCAAGCAAAGGCAGCTGTGCTGATTTCATTTCTCAGCATTTCCTCATCCATCCCGCGCTTTATTGCACGGTAGCCGCGCGCAAACGCAACGCATGATCATCCCCGC